TCACTGACACTGAATAATAGATACAATATATATATATATATATATATATAAGAATCAAAAGGGAATACACAGGAGTTCGATGACTACATCAATCCCAACCCTAAAGCTTTAGCTCTCCATGGTACAAGAAATCACAAAATAACAAGAAGAAAGGTAGAAGAAAGAGATCCTCCGAAGAACCGTGTTCCCGCGAGCTCCAAGGTGCTCTATTTTGTTCCTTCGTTTTGTTCTTCTCTTGTGCCACCTCTGCCCTTTTATAGGTACTGGAATTAAAATAGAGTAGGCAAGAAAGAGAAGAAACTGCTCAGCGTCTTGAAATGGTTGAGCGATTTGGATAATTCTTCAACATGAAGTAATCTAAAGGGCTGAGCCCTCAAATCCGCTAAGCGCCTGAGATGATTCTTCACCATTAAGCAAGCAAAAGGGAATGGGCGCTTCAGATCCGCTGAGCACCTAGGAGGTAGAGGGCACTCATTCTTCCAAGGCCAAAATCGCTCAACGCTTGTGAGTGGCTGAGCGCCTCTCCTTTGGTGCTCTTGTTAAGCTCTTTGGTTTGAAAGTGCTCAACCCTTTTGAAGGGCTAAGCCTTTGCCTCCAGACTTCAAAACCTACAAAATAAGCACAAAATCTTATCAAAGGACTCATCACTCGCTATAATAACGTAGATTAAGAGTCTCTCTTTGATTCTAAGAATATTGGTCAAAATTATATCAATATGTACAAAAATTGTGCTAGATAAGTGTCTTAAATTTATATTTCATCAGACTAGTCAGACACTTATCACTTCATGTTTTGGATAATTACTTGGTATGATTTATGTACTATTTTGATGTATATGACTACGAGAAGTTTCTTGCATCAGACTATATGAACATGATGTGAGAATGTGAAAGGTGAACGTATGATCTGTGATATGATATTGTGAAATAATGTGACATGAGATATGATGAGACGTGATAAGTGAAATGTTGAGTCAATGAAATCGGGAATGTGTGACATGCATCATGTGCATTTATGCGCTAACAAGGTGTACCTAGGGTCACCAAGTGATGTAACAAGCTAATCAGGTGTACCTTGTGTCACCAAGTGATGTACCAAGCTAACTAGGTGTACCTTGGGTCACCAAGTGATGTAACAAGCTAACAAGGTGTACCTCTGGTCACCAGTGATGAAATGATGAGAAATGTGATTATGAGACACGTGACTGGCACCACATGCATTTATGAGTCAAGTCTATCAGATCATTGCATGATGAATGACTGTGCATGTGTTACTATTGTATGTATAATTTAAATTTACACTAAATAATGTGTAGCTATGACTGTGATTGTTATGATTCGTGTGTGTGTTGCCTAACTGTTATTTCTACACCTGGAACCGAGTGAAATATTTTTCACTCCCTTGTTGTTTCTTTGTATATGTTTAAATTGTGTTGTAGATGATTATCACGAGGATGTTGGTGACGAGGCTTAAGCTTCAGTTGGGCATACTCTAATAAGATATGTGATATTGGGGCATAACTAGATTAGTTTAGGATTTTCTAATTATTATTCTGTTTTGGAAAATATTCATTTTGCTATAAATTTCACATTTGACCATGTTTGAAGTATACGAATGTGGATTCTTTACTCTTATGTTAATGGATTTATTGTTTTAATTATAAAGATTTTATTTAAACCAAGAATATGTTTTTATATATATATTGGGATAAAGGGTGCCACAATAACTAGCAATATGCCGAACAAAAATACATGGGTAAGAAGTAGGAACTACCTATGTGTGCATAAAAAAGAGTAGTGATCCTGGATATAAGAAAGGAAAAATTCAAGAATATAGAATTCCCATGCATAATATAAAACATTTGAAAATCATACGTATTATTGAACTTCAAAAACTAATTAAAAAGGCTTACAATTAGACCAACAGAGTGCCACAACTTCGACCAATTAGGAAATGGATATAATTAAATTACAATTGCAAAAGCAGTTGGCAGTGTGGCAACGTGAGGCGGCGACAGTGCGTGACCGACGGTGCGCACTAGCGTGAGGTGGCTACAGTGTGAAGACAATGAGAGCGAAACCCTAGAGAGTGAAGAAAGGAGAAAGAATGTGGGGTACGGACTTCTCCCAAATACAAAAGAAGGAGAACTGAGAAAGAGTGGAAGTGTGCGGGCGGGACCTCTCCAAAACGCTAGATAAATTAATTTTTACATAAAAATTTAATATATTTTTTTTTTATCAAAGATTAATTTTAAATGAAACATTACAATTATAGCAAAATTTTTACCACCTTTTAGATTTTTATTTTCACAAAATTTAACTTTGAAACTTTATTCAAAATGATTAAATCTAAATTTATTCGAAACTTTATTATATTAGTTAACTGTATATATGTGTATCTATTTTTTATTATATGTTTATACAATTCATTCTCAATTGAATAAGTTAATTAATTGTATTTTATTTATTTTTATAAAAGATTAGTTATTTCATATGAAATATTAATTCTAAATGAAATATAAATAATATAGTACACTTTTTATATTAAAAATGTAATTACACTAATATTAATACATTTTTAGTCTTGTCTATTGATATTTAAAAAGTATATATATATATATATATATATATGCAATAAATTAAACAGATTCACTAATATTTACTCAGGTATTTTTATTTTTATTTAAAATGATTAAATCTAAATTTATTCAAAACTTTATTATATTAGTTACTTGTATATATGTGTATCCAATTTTTATTATATGTTTATACAATTCTCATCAAGTGAATATAATAAGTTAAATAATTGTATTTTATTATTAATTAATTAATATCCGGCTAAACCTCGTAATGATATCAGCACAAGAGTAAAGAATATTTCTTGCTCGATATGAAGTAATTAAGCTACATTGAGGTTCTACTTAAACTGAGGTTAATTAGAGTATAGTATCTGTTATGTAATTAATCAGGTGTGGTCTGGTCCAAATTGGTGAGGGTATTTCTCAGTTCTTGAGGCATGTATCACGCAATGCTTCTAAGTAATTAGTTGTGTTCAGAGTTAGCAATTTTCATTGATGTTGAAATTGTATATAATCGGCCAAGGAATATGTATGTCGTAGCTAGTTAGCTTTTTTCAAATGAGTGATTTTTTTGTCCTAAAATTTTAGTGTAGGTTGTTAACATATTCCAACTAAAAAATATGTGGGAGTATATTAGCATTTCTCATATATATATAATTCGTCACTCATTTAGCTGCTCCCAATTA